TGATGAGACATTTCTAAAATACTCCGAGATGAAGACACGTGTCATCGGTGTCATTAATCTTTGTTACCGAAATCACGTACCCATCGGGTCATAAGTCCCTCTCCCCCGAGGTACTGATCATAGGGATTGAGTGGCATCCAGTATGTTTTAATGTACCGACACGTACCCTCGGTCTGATATGGTACATCGGTCGCTAGGCCTCCCGCTCTCGGCTTCAAGATGTACCTATTTCTCGGCTCCGAGATGTACCTATTCCTCGGCTCTGAGATGTACCTCTTTCTCGGCTCTGAGATGTACCTCTTCCTGGGTACCGAGATGTACCCCCCTTATCCAGGATGTCGTTCTCTGCTCCAGCAGAGGCTATTGACGTACAGGTCACTAGCCTAGGCTAGGCTAAGTTAGCTATTATGACCTCGTCTTACATAATTGGTGTCAGAAGGCACAGGAAGGCAGGGGCCACAGCCAATAGGGAATGGACGCGTGGCATATTGTGTCACATCAGAGATAGAAAGACCGCATGACCTTGCTGACACGCGACTTGGGAAAGCAAGCATCTAATTACACCATTCCCTTGATGAGACTGCATTCAATGCGGTAAGGCTCGGAAGTGAAAGTCAATAAATGTCTCTAAGACTGGGCATTTATTGCATCCTCCCCGAGAGGAGCTCATTGAACCGTCGGCAGACCGATGACACAGTCTTGATTGCTCGGGGTCCCGAGCAGTTAAAAGAGAAGACATTCCTCGTAGGAATCAGTGTGCACGTTGCCTGTATCTAATGATCACCTACTGACTACACTGACAGCAATCATGAGTATTTGAGGTATAAATACTATTCACTAAAGGCAAGAAAAACAAGGTGAAACTTTTGCTACAAATTATACTCAGTGTTTTCTTCTTCCTCTCTCTCAAAAACTGACTTGATCGTCGGAGGGGATACGCTGAAAACACTCCGGCGCCTTTCTAACTTGTTCTTCTTTGTTCCAGAAACCTTTCTTCAGCCTTACTGGATCGTTCCTTTGATCCACGAGGGTCTCCCATTACCATTCCAGGTTACCACCGGATCTCACAGGCTGTTCCAAGCAGCGTGGTTGACCACTCAACTGACTCACTCGAGTTCACCAAGGGAGAAATCTATTCTCGTTTTTATATTGTGCAAGATCTAACACGCACACCTATAAATTTCAGGATGTCTGAGTATAATTTATTAACGAATATTTTACCGAACATTGACAGCAGGGATCTAAATTTTAGAGGGATTAAGTAATTAATTGATAAATCTTAGAAGGTATGAGTGTAATTCTCCCTTATTTTTGATATACTCAGTATTAAAAATATAATAACTGTATTACCCTTATAAACTTAAATCCACGTTCTCATACAAAAACTACACATTCTACAAACTCTTACTCTTACTCTTAATATTTGTTTTGTCATTTTCAATTTTGATATCATATACTATTATCTAATCCAAACATGAGTTTTATATTATAATTATAAATTTATACCTTATCTCAATCTTGATCCAATCATAAATAATACTCTTATTAATATCTTTTCTATATATTGAATGAAAATCAATTATCCAATCATATATTATTTGTTCCTCCCGGAACTAAACATGCCCTAAAAGTGCTTCACTTTGCTTACACTGAAAGATGAGTAATGTTGCCACCACAACCACCTCCACTATCCTTGATTATCATCCAATATGTTTTTCTTTTACTTGGTTTTGACCAGTCAGATTAGCCTCTCCGTTCTTCACCTCCTCAAATTAGGTGAAGTTGGTAGGGGCACTTAGTATTATCCAATCATATTGATTAATTTATTTCTTATCAACTCATGTAAATCGTTAGATTAATGGGTTGTACTTGATCCTACTAACAATCAATAATTATTATTGCATCCATTAATTTAACAATCAACTTATAATTATAATCAATATTTGATCACAAAATATTGTGATCGATCATAAAAATTATAAATTTTAAAATTAAGTTTTTTTTTTTACAATTATTTTTAGAGTTGTACCAACTGCTCCCTCAAATTTAAAATCTGGTCACTATTATTTGAACTGGGGTTATAGTAAGTCTCTAAAAAGACAAGAGAAGATTGTTCATAGAGGGTATGAGAAATGATTGAATCTCAGACTTTTGGATTACTAAAAGTCATACTCACCTACTAACTTGCTACTAAGTTTTAATTTTAAAATCAAATTACTATCTTTAAAGGTCAAGTTACGATTCTTAAAAAAAAAGTTGCAACTAATTGGCATAATTCATGATATCATGAATTATCGTAAACAATCATAATTTTATCTTTAAAAAATATAACTTCACTTTTAAAAATAATAATATGTTTGATATCGAAGTATTATTTGGTGGACAAAATTAATTTAAAGGGCTACAATGATTGATGAAATATCATGAGAAACGGTCAGGAAAAAAAATTCAGTGGGGCCACCTCCTCCATTAAAAAGGCCCCTGAAGGGATTCCCCTTGGGGTCCAACTTCATGAATGGTGGTGAATCCGCAACATATTTCCCATTATTTGGCCCACACTTTTATTTTTTGGTCTGAATATAATTTTCCATGAAATAAAACCAGGGAAAAGCCTGTCTTTTTTACAGTGTATATTCACTCTATCCCTAGTCTAACTTCTTTGAGAATGATCTGTGTCAACTGCTTTGGAGGAGATGAAAACCAGTAGAGAGTGTGCCCCGTCTGCAAAGCGCAGCCAGAGAGTGTGCTGCATGAGTTAAAAGATCTCCTTGTGTATTTTATATCTAACATCAGTTAACTGATCTACATATTGCCATTTGCCCTGTTGACAGGAGGCGGAGGGAGGCATGGGCCAGGTGGGCAAGTCTCCCCTAATTTTTTTTTTATTAGTTAGGTATATATATTATATATTTGTATAATATATTATTTGTGCCGATTCAAAATTTAAGATAAAAATATAAGCCCACATTATTTACCCAAAAAAATTAAAAAATTAAGCCCATTTAAAACAAAAAACTTTGGGTTCACTACTATCTACCAAAACTTATTAAAAAATCAAATTTTTGATCTATCACAATCCATCCAAACCTATTAAAAAAATAAAACTTTTAGCCCAATATTAAAAGCAAAATTTTTGGCTCCCCCTCCATTTTTTTTTTGCTTCATATTAAACATATATTTTTTGAAATAAAATTTAGACATATTTAATTGTGTCCACCCTAATATTGTGTTCTAATGATATTGATTTGAATAGCCCCTACCTAAGTGATTGTTTACTTTTTCAACAATGTTATTGAAACCTAATTTAAGAATCTAATACATTGCGATATTAAGTATAATGGTGAGTTTTAATATGTAATAAACTCTACTATTTATCCAATTGTCACAAACCATTAAATCTCCATAAATTAAATCTCAAATTAGGCACAACTAATATAATTGTTAACTTTTAGACATGTCTATTGATATTATTTTATAATTTTTTTAAATTGTAAGGTAATTTCGTTAATGTACAAAACTGCGTGTCGTTATGTAGCAAACTATAGGATCGTAAATGGAAAATTGTTACTGCGATTTTATATATAAAAGAAATATTATGAATAAAATTAATTTGTTACTCTTTCAAATAATAAAAACATATCAGGATCAATTATATTTAATAATAATTAGTTGCATTCTCGATAAAAAATTTTAATTATTATTTTTTTGTTCATACTATATATATATCTATTTTTTAATTTTTTATGTTTAAAAAATATTAAATATAATTTTAATAAAAATACATTTATGAACTTTTATGGTCTATTAACAAAAAATTAAAACATGCTAGTGTGTCCACCTTAAAAAAAATTTCTGCCTCCGCCCTGAGCAACAGAGAATGAAAATTGTTTACCATTTATAAATAAGTCCTGCTTTTCTTCTTGAAAGATAATACAATGAATTTCAATGATTTTTTTTTTTCATTTGTTCCTGAAGTCAAATATTTTAGTTACATATCTTAACAGAACTGTAATAGGAATTTATGAATTATGACCCGAACATGTTAAACTTATTTATACTTATTTAGAATTAATTTTGATGAGTTTTCATATTTTAAAGACGTATGATAATTTTATTATCTATACTATAGAGAATATATTTCTCTATACAAATAATTAACTTACTCTTTTGATAATGTAATTTAATCTTCACAATTTTCATAACTTAAAAAAATAAATTCGACATATTAAAAACTTGTCTAGATGTGTCCATAAAGTGTAAAATGTGTCAATAAATTCATAATTATTAAGTATTTGTCTATACTAATTGAAAAAATAAAAAATTAACTCTGCGTTTGATACGTGGTAATATTTTTTAATAGGAATGAAATGAGTTTGGAAATGAAATAGAATACACATTACCATTCAAATATTTGATAGCTTTTTAGGATTAAGTGTTGGAATGAAATGTTCATTTCATTCTTATGTTTGGATAAAATAATTTTTCATTGGAATGGAATCAACTTTAACCAAAATATCTATAGTGACTAAAAATAATTAATAATTTTTTTTTAATGATTGCGATTGCCTTTAAAAATTGTGTAAAAAAAATTTATAATTTGAAAAAATGAGAATCCATTGAAAAAAATTAAACCCGTATAAATTTTAAAAAATTAGAAAACAAATTCCTTCAAAAATAGGTTCACAAAAAAAAATTAAAATAAACAATTATTCAAAATTGGTCATTCATTTCAAATGAACAACTATAGTTCTTTATGAATTCAATAGAGCACATGCGCCAACCCAAAAAGAAAACTATCAAGACAATTAGGAATCTCATCTGAACATGTAGGTTGAACCAAAAAATAAATCGATGAAAAGCAAGTCCCAAAAACAATTAATAGTATAGAGAAAACAAAAACAAGTTGAATAAAAACAAAAATTCTTAAATTCCATTATGTTCATCTCAATAGCATCGGAGATAGAATTCCAAGAAACAAAATCATTCTCAAATATAGGTACAAAAAATTACACTTTTTGTCTACTTGCTCTCCACTCATCAAACATTTTGTTTGCCAAATTCTTTAGATGAGTTTTTTTTTGGGGTAATAAAGTTAAAACCATTCAGAGATATCACCCTACTTGAATTGGGCAACATATTGTTTGGATACTCGTTTTATACAAACTAGCTAAAAAATCTGATCAAACTCGGTTCATTTTGCATTTTAAACGAGTCTGACGGATGAAAATTGGGTCTATTATTTCAAAAGTGAGCCTGACAAATGCAGATTTTTCCTCTAATGTAAGTAGACAACTCAAAGTTCATGATTCTACAAAGGCTGAATCTCCAAGTTACTGCTTCTAGTACCTTCTCCAGATGAAGATTGATTCTCCTGATTCACACCAGCCCTCATCTCTTGAATTGTAGGAGGGTTAACAATGGTTGTTGACAAGACAGCATTATCAGATAGATGATTATTCATCTCTTTGTGCTCTTGACACAGGGCACACCAATGCAACAAGCAATGCACCATACACGGGTCGCAGAGTGAATCCTGCAGAACAGGAGGACATATGCAATTTATAAAACAGCTAACCATCACAAAAATAAAATAAAATCTGCATCTGAAGCAAAGATGCATCATATTCATTCGGTTGCCAAACCAATTTACAGGGAGAACGTCCATAACGTTTTCTTGAAGTAGTCATGGATCATACGAAAACTTTATGCTCGAAAGAATGGCATGACACACAAACCGAAAGATCTTTCCCAAAAAAACATAATTCATTCAAAGAAATACACCAACTCACACTAGGCCAAATGTAGACAACAAAAACGAAAGGCAGTAATTCTGAAGCTTGCTTTCCTGCCCTTGTAGCCTCTAAAAAATGATGTAGTTTTGGGCCTCATTCAACTCGAATTTAGAAGAACCTATAGTTATATAAAAAAAAATGGCAGCAACAAGAGAAAAAATGCAGGTCCTGAAGCATAGGAGTGGTTTGTATGGTACTTGTGTTTGCAACAAGAGACTATTTCCCTTACCTCTTCACCAACAGTGAGGCAGTTGCTTAACTGACAACCAAGCTTGCAGTCTTGCTTGGACTCACAGTAATTCTATTTTAAGGGTGGGTGACCCTACTTAATTTAGTGGCCGTGATTGCATAAGAATGGCCCCATAGCATATGAACTTACAAAACATGCAACACTTTAATTTGAGTATGCCAGCAGGATTATTAGTAATTGTTGTTGCTTGTTTTAATAGTGTTCCTATCATGTTTGTAATGCTAACATAGGCCATTAATTTCATTCTTCATTATGGTGTCATCAGTCACATTTCATGGACGGAATGACAAAAAGCCACAGAGGGGATTCGACTTACAATTAAAACTCAAGCCACTTGCCAAAGATAGGCGCCCAAACAAAAAAAGCACAATAGCTACGCAATTATTTATCCCACTTACAAGGATCCCACTTCAAAGCAAAAATAGAAAATTTTGTGACAGCATAAGGGGGATTCGACTAACAATTAAAACTCAAGCCACCCAATAATTTGAATTCTATAGGTATTATTCAAAATATCTTGCATTCAATCCTATTTTTCTTTTGTCTCATTTCTAAGGGTACTTTTATCATATAGTTGGCAGGCAGGTTATTCAAAATGGAAAATAGAGACACAAAATTCCAAAATTGGATTTGAGATTGTTGACTAAACAAAGTGAAGAGTTACCTGAGATTAGTGGCGACGTCAAATCTTGCCTGGTCATCCATCTAGCCCCTTGCATCACGAAGAGATGAGGAAGAAGTATACAATGGCTAGTGAGAGATGGCCTGCCATGCTTTCCCCCTGATGAAGGAAAAAGATGAGAGGAGAGAAGAAGGATTGGGGCCAAAGATCTGAAGAACGTTGGGCAGTGATGAGAGAGAGAGAGAGAGAGAGAGAGGGAGGGGGGGGGGGGGGGGAATAGGAACGATCAAGTTTTTGGCACCGATTACCGACGGGTAGGGAATGGGTAAAAGTAGCCTCCTTAAATTCGAACCGATTGATAAAGAGGTTGACACGTTAAATATGTTTAATAAATGAATTGTATTCGATTAAGGCATGTTAAATCATTTATCATACATTTTTCTAGTTTAAATAAAATTAATATAATAATAAATTAATAATTATTTTAAAAAATTAGTAAGAAATAAAAAAATAAAAAAAAATAAAATAATAGTTCAAAGACAAAAGAGAAGAGACAGAGAACACTTCAAAGACCAAGATAAATCAATGTATTTTATTTTTGTCCCACGTTAAAAAATGATGGGAGATGGGAAGGGTTGAGTTGCCCATAAAAATCAATGACCTCTTGCCTTTTTTTTTTTAAGCCTTTAAGTCATATTTTTATGAGATTTGTCTAAAAATTCCTCTTTTTTGAGGTAAGTACAATTAACAACAAAAAAAAGTGAAATATTAAAATTTGTTGATATAATTTTTTTAAAATTAAACTGGTTGAACGAGTCATGTTGTGTTACTTGTTTATTAAACGGGTCATATTCGTGTTGAAATTTTTTATCCGTTTATTAAACGTGTCATGTATGAGTTTATATATTTTTCACCCATCACCCGTTTAACCCGACATATAACCGTTTAATCCGACACGTTTGACACCCCTAGATAATACCATGGTTTATTTGGGAATGATTAATTCATAATTTATGGAATTAGTTATCTCTTAGGAATGGGATGAAATTTTATTCCCGCGAACCAAACAAAAGAATAGACATTACTAAGGAATGATCATTCCATTCCTAAGATTTAATATTATGCACCAAATACAGCGTAATAGATTGAACATAAAATATATACAATGGGCACAATAAAATATATCAAAAAATTTTAAAATATATAAATAATAATTTTTTAAAACAATTTCAGGGTGGGCCACGCCCCGTGGTCCACTAGTGGCTCCGCCACTGCAACCGTTAATAAGGATCCAAAGACTGGAATGCTTGAGTAGGCCCCAATGATTAACTGACGTGGGTGACTCAAATCGAGCAAAATGAAGGAATTTTCAAATTGAGTGAACGACTCACTCAATCCAATGAGTGTCGCTGGAACTCATGATCGGTGATCCATTAAAATATATATATATTAGAGGTGATGATGTATTTAGCACGATGGAACAGAGATGAGAGATTCATGAGTTACTGAATAGTTCAGTCTGAACTTCTAGGCTCTTAAAATTTGGACAAGAAAAATATGATTAACACACATAAAATTTATAGTGATTCACCAGTTTGAAAACTCGCTTAATCTAAATGAGTCTTTTGTTCTTGGAAAATATATTGCTAAAAAGGGAGATTACACAGAGTATTGAATTAGGTTACAATTACTTCAATATCGCTATTGAGGGTCATGTCTCTTATTTATTGTTGAAGAGGCTGAAGAAGAGAGACTAAGAAGGATAGAGAAATTGTGGGGAATAATCCTACATTTATCAAATTTTGCATCTTAAATTAGTATGAGTCCACTAATTTTCACCAAACATTCAATGTATAGAATTTTGACATATCATTTGTGATACAACATTTGATAAATAAATATAGAAATCTTAATTTTATCCTATTTACGGAAAAAATGGAGATGAAGCCCACTGAATATGACATGTCAAGTGATGATTGGTCAAACATAAACCAGTGGATTCTCTTGTTCAATGAGATAAAATTATTTCCGACTTCCCTGATGAACCCACCATTTTCGGATAATCAATGTGCAAGTTACACATCAACAAAAAATAAAACCACCGCCCCTATTTTAAATTGGTCAATTGGGTTCCATTTTTATTTTTCACTCTAACTTCTTTTTCTTTCTCAAAAACCTTGACTGTGGTTCTACACAAGTCAACTGAGTCTTAGTATAACTTATCCCACTTACTATTTTACAGTAGTTATTTGCTCTTTTTGTTGGATAAAAGCTAGGTATCTCAATAGTATAGTGTCAAAAAATAATTTAACCATTTATTTTGATTTGAATGATCTCCAATGTTGATAAAAAATTATAAAATTTAAAAGCGCATACATGACACATTTTTAATAGGTTAAAAGTGAATGTACTATGCATTTCAACACCATCATCTTTTTCACCGAACATAATTTTTTCTCTACAAAGAAAAAAATTGAGAGTGCATCACCCTTTTTTTTTTTTTTATCATTTTATAATTTGTGCTCACATTTCTTATTTGGATCGGTGTTATTTGGTTAAAGAATCAAACTAACCCAAAAGATAATAAAATATGTGTTCATTCAAATTTTATTCTCGAAACAAACTCTTGTTGTTACATATAATAGTTCTTGAATATAACAAGATCTTGAATTTTTTTTCTTGAAAGAAATATTATAATAATAGTTCCATGCAATTTTAATGGCTCATCTTAACGACGTTCATTGTTATTGAGGAAGATGAAGTTCGCTGTTACTGAGGAAGATGAAGTGTTCCAGTATAATTTGGTGGTGCATCGTTTTGATTGTAGAATATTTATATATTCTAATGACTTTGGCTATTATAGCCTTCCCGACCATAATTTTTACTTTTTTCTTTTTAGGGCATTTTACTTGGAAATAAGAAATTGTATTCTACTTGATATAAAAAATTAAATAAATTAAAAAAAATCAATGTAAATAGATAAAGAAATAGATCTTCTCTATACACCGGAGTCCTTAATTCGTTTAATCAATGTTATTGGTAACTTGTATAATTCACATTCTTTAGCTCTATCCATGAATTATTCAATAATAGGTTTTTAACAATCAGATCTATCTACCTATATATACAATAACAATATTTAATTAGGAAGGTTAATTGGGTCGTTGCCTATGATATTCTGAATAAAAACTTTCATTGATATTCCATATGAAAGGATTGCAGACAAATAAAGGACTCAGATTGACAATTTTATCCTAATTTGACACAAATTACCAAGGTAGAACATAATCACAATAACAAAAATTTAGTAGAATCTACTTATCCTTCAAGAAGAAAAAGCATAACTTATTCAAAAATTGTCACAATTGGCTTGGAATTATCATTGGTTGGTGGTTCCACAAAGCAGTGGCACCGTAATAGGACCTTTGTATTGAATATTTTCTACTTGCACTTACCTCGGCCTGCTTAATTTCTTTTATTAACGCGATGAATTGGCAAAAGAATCTTACTGGAAAAATTTCTAAAGATGCTCTGCGTTCCAGGAGTGAGGTAGGACTTTTCCCTCCTCCGTTTGCAACTCGTAGTTCCCTGGCCTGACCACCCTTGAGATGATGTGGGGACCTTCTCAATTAGGGCCCAGTTTTTCATGAGTGGGGTCCTTTCTTGCAAGGAGGAGCTTTCTGAGCACTAGATCCCCGACTTTAAAATTCCTATGTATGACCCTCTTGTCATTAGTACCTTGTTGCCTTCCTCTGGTAGCCCCTTATACGTTGCACAGCTCTGCCCCTCTTTTCATCCAAAAGGTCAAGGTTTAGCAGAAGTAATTTGTCATTGTGTTCTAACTCTGCGAATTCAGGCCAAGGGGATGGGATTCCTACTTCCACAGGTGCCACTGCTTCGGTTCCAAATGCCAGAGCAAAGGGTGTTTCCTGAGTTGCTGTCCTGACAGTTGTTCTGTAGGGCCACAACACTTCTGGGATGTGCTCTATCCATTTTTTTTAGAGCTTCCAGTTTGGTTTTCAAAGCTGACTTTGTAGTTCGGATGGTGACTTCTGTTTGTCCGTTGGACTGAGGATGGGTTAGAGCTGAAAAGTAATTCTTTATCCCTAGCTCAGCACATAATTTTTTGAACTTAAGATTGTCGAATTGCTTTCCATTGTTGGAGACGATTGTCCTGGGAATCCCAAATTTGCAAATTATGGACTTCCACTTGAAATTCTGAACTTTATTTTTGTGATTGTTGCCAAGGGTTCCATTTTTGCCCATTTTGTGAAGTAATTCACTCCAATGATGACGAACTTACACTACCCTACACCTACGGGAAGGGGCCCAAGGATGTCGAGACCCCATTGCTGGAATAGCCAGGGGCTCTCCATTGACGTTAGGAGCTCTAGTGGGCAGTAGGAGATATTAACGTGTAGTTGACAAACTTTACACTTCTTGGCCAGGTCCATGACATCTTTGAGCATAGTGGGCCAGTAATATCCTTGTCTCAAAGCTTTTCCTACCAAGCCCCGAGCTCCAATATTGTTACCACAGACTCCCTCATGAATTTCTCTAAGTATATAGTTAGCGTCCTCGTCCTCCACACACTTGAGGAAAGGCATCAGAAAGCCTCGTTTATACAAATTCCCCTGCAAGATTAAGAATCTGGCTGACCTCGTTCTCAATTTTGTGGCTTCCTTTGAGTCTGCTGGCAATATTCCATTTTGAAGATACTCTCTGATAGGGTCCATCCAGCTTAATGAAGTCAAAACAGGGAGCATTTCTTCTTCCTCAAAACTTACTGACGACTCTGCTAGGTGTTCCACTGGTATCAACATATCCAATTTTTCCTATGAGGCAATAGTTAGCTTTGCCAATGCATCTGCTCATGAATTCACAGACCTAGGGACATGCCTGATCTAAACTTGCACAAATTTCTTACTCAGCTCCTACACCTTTCTGAGGTAAAGGACCATTTTCTCACCTTTAGCCTCATAAGACTCCTCTATCTTCTTCACCACGAGCTAGGAATCACTACAAATCTCAAGTTGTTCTGCCTCCATTGAAAGTGCAAAATTGAGTCCAACGATGACAGCCTCATACTCCGCCTCATTGTTTGAAGTCTTAAACCCAAACCTAAGGGCGTACTCGACATCTATTCCGTCTGGGGAGGTTAGAATAAGGCCAACTCCACTCCCTTGAGCGTTGGCAGCTCTGTTTACCAAGAGCTTCCATACAGGGAGATCGGGTACCAGTTGTG